GCCAGCATATCCAGTGGCAGAAGACCTGGTAAAAGCAATTACAACTGTTTCAACTTCAATAATACATTTACAGAGAAGAAATGATCTGGCTAGTTTAGGGCACCAAACTCATTATTGGCCTGAAACAGACTCTTACGTATTATCAATCTGACTTGTTGTACGTTTAAAAATGCAATAATAAAAGAATAAGTTAAGAATGAACACATAGCACCCAATAACATACTTGTTTCCAATTTGAGATTTAAGAAGCAAAAACAGCCTTATTACCTCCCCTTGTATGAAACTAAGGTAAATAAACTGGCTTCTCTTTACAGGCACCCCTAATTGTGACCAATAGTGGTTCCGCAAAGATGGAGGACAGTGCGGTGATATCACATCTAAAAGATGACAACTTACCCGAACTGATTCAATTGTAACTTTAAAACATCAGTGGAAAGATTTAGAACTTCAGCTGACGAGTCCCATAATTTAGAAAAAAATACAAGATCCTCAAAGCAAGTCTGATTTGTGGTACAAAGAGAAAGGGCGAATTATCAAGCCCAAACTTGGTCTGCTTAGTGACTCGCAAAAACAAATCAATGACACATTTATCAGAAACACCTTTGACAGCAGCCTTCTCCAATCCAACAACTTATGGGAATTCTACGAGAAAATAGCCAAACAAATGCACATGAAAACTCAAAATCATCTTCATGATATTGGTTTCTGTTGTAAAACCCATCTATTCCATTTATAGGAGCCACCCCTGATGCTATAGTGTGTGACACTTCTGTTTCTGGTATTAGAAATTAAGTGTCCTTATGCTGTAAGGGACTTGACCATTAATGAAGCCTCCTGTATGACTGGTTTCTTTTGAAAAGGAAGAAAATATAACTTGAAGAGAGGTGGATATAGGCATTGGTATCAGGGTACAGGGCCAACTACTGTAACTGGGGCACCATTTTGTACTTGTAACCTACACCAGACAAGATCTTTAACATTGAACGGATATATCCAGATAGGAATAATTTTCAGGACTTGCTTGAAAGTCTGTCACAAACATATGTCAATCACTTCTCTGAAACCATACTTTGCAGGGAACAGATTCTCTATAAAAACTTACCCATGGTGTCAATATTGGACAAGAATATCAGATTCTGCTGCATGGTTGTAGGCTCTTGATGTTCCATATCCATTTGATTTGGTGAATCAGAAACATCTGTATCATGATTACATCTGAAAAGAAGATGAAGACCAAATTTTCATCTTATACCTGAACCTCAAATGTGTTACAGCCTTTAAATGGTTACCATCTTTGTCGATTTCCTATAACTTCTTGATTACCTATCAGACTATTTATGCCTTTTCTAATATATATGTGTTTATTAAGTTGCCATAATTCAGCTGATAAATAACTTCTTTGGCTTCACTTGTTAAGTGCCCACAGTTGATATCATCATATGACTGTTGTTCTTTTCACATGTAATATTGCTATCTTGCTTCCTAGTTTTATTCCTCTCCCAGCTGATAGCTATAAGAATATATTCTGGAAACACTGTGCCCGCCGAGAAATGACAAGTATGAATGGACTAGTTGGATGTGATATTGACCATCTTGATTCATACACATCTCTATATTTGGAGAAGTCATCTTTCATGAAATATTACAGCAACTTCGGATAGGACTAATGGCTGTGTCTGGCCATGCCAGCGTAAAAACATCTATAACATGTAAATTAATGTTGCATTTAAACATTATTTAAAAGAATCCACCGTCGTATTGATCCTCAAAGTGGTTACAGCAACGTCCATGTTGATGGCCAATATTTTATGATGGATTGTAATGAATACTGAACCTTCCCAGAGCTACAGTAATATCACTCAACATTATGGGCCCTAAGAAACACAGCCTTTACCTGAGCAATTAGATGTCAATATACCGCAAGCAGATATCAGTCCCCTTCATCATGCTTATATGAATAGAACCAGCATGATTGTGATCTTGTGATGCACGTGATACTTCTGTCTTTCATAACTACAAAGGATCTAAATGTGTGACATTACCTTTACTAACTTTCTCGTGATACCTCAGAATAAACAAGGATTTGTTTGGATTTTATATTTCAAATGGCCTTGTCGCAAGCCTTTGAGTTGCAAGTATAAAGCAACAATGCTCTTTACCTGTGTGCCTCTCAAGAAGAACTTCCTTTTCTGTCGCCCATAAACGGCAAGTGGCTTTGGGCTGTGGTCTTAATTGTCTTTGGATTTTCATTTTGTTCATGAGGTAGCGCAGACGCAGGGTCCGAAATGTCTTGAGGGTTTTCCATCAACAAAGTGCCGGTAAATAAACTCGCATTTACAATTCATAGAAACGACGAAAAACAACATGGATGAGCTCAATCGTATGTCAAACACAGACATCGTCTGTCCTGACATACCACGCGGTGAAACATTAGTAACTAAACCAAGGAAAATCGGTGTAAACTGCTATATAACAACTAACAAGCACTGAAAAATCTATCAAGTTAAAGATTTCTAAATTTACATTAACTACAACATTCGTTAAGCTGTTATTACCTTACATTTTAGTTTCCATACCTTTGTACATACGAAGAAATGTTTCCCTCAGCTGTGGTCACGAAGCATGTCCATGTTCAGTTGATATTTGGGGCGACCACACAAACGTATCCATCGCTGACATTTGTCAAAAATTCTGGCATGCTTGGGTAATGGAATAAATGTGATACCACCAGCAAGTCGTTCCGGGTACCGCGTGTCCGAGTTGCAGGTACCCCAGCTACACCTTTTCACCATGATCTAAAAGTTGACTGTAAACGTTGATTTACTTTTGAAAAGTCCTCCAGACCGCTGATATCGGACAAAATGGTGGTTAGCTGACCGCAGCGCGATACCGATTGAATAATTTGACGTTCCTCATTGGTCAGGTCATTTGTTTGATTGACAGGTGGCGATATGTTAATTTAATGCTATCTAATGAATTCCCTTTGAATCCCACTATAACTTCTAAAAGTCTTATCGAATATATTTGTTTGATTTGATGTATTGATGCCTCCAGTTTTCCATATGTTTATGAGCTGCTTTATTAGTCAGTTTCTGCATTTCATATTTTAAAAAAGACACAAAGTAATTGTAGTCATATTTTGCTGTGCTCCTACACCCAAATAATTAACTTAAGGTAGGTGCACATGAGCAAACTTGTAGGCATGTAGAAATGTAGTGGTGTGTGTGTGGTGTGTGTGTGGGGTGGTGGTGGGGTGGGGTGGAGTTGTAGTCGTGAAGAATCTACAGGATCAGCAGAGCTTTTAAGTGATAGTATATGGTCCTACAGACATACAGAATTTGTGTACAACCGTCCATATCTATCAACACAGACAGGATACATTCCAGACGTAAGGCAGAATAAGCTTTTGGACATGAAGTATACAACTGTAACTGCACTTCTAGTGATGATGTCCACAGCAGATACAGATTGTCTTTGATCAGTATATACATGGTGATGATGGCATCAGTAGGTCAGTCCCACTCCAAGATAGGTGAAGACCAAGGCCACTCTCTATTTTGCGTGTGTATACATTACCCGTTTCATAACAACAACATGGTCAGCATTAGAGAATTATTGTTTTCCCCCAAATCCAAGTAAGATGTTTTCTGGTGCAGTCAATGTTGCCTTCAGTTCCAGTCATGTAGCCATGTGGTCAAACTCTCCCAAACTCTCTTGACATGACACAACAAATACGAATAGATATGGGACAATGAGTTTCAGTTCCTTTGAAATCAGAACGTACATTTGTGACCGACCTATTTAAGAAAATGCTTGCTGGCAAAATATCACATAACATTCCATCTGCAGTCCATTTCCGCGTTACTACATGCTGTACATCGATTTGTTAATCATACATATATGTTTCGTAACATTGTGTCATCATACACGTGTTACAGGTGACTTTTCCCAACTTTGCATAAGCATACGATTTCAGTGCAATTAGGTCCAGTGGAGATAAGACAAAAGGTTTTGGATATATTGAATGGTAGTATTTTAGGAAGCACATCACCTCATTGCAGTTATGGAAGATTTGATACTATGATATCTTAAGATATTAGTTTTAACTTGATAGGATTTTATAGTTCTTCATTAGTATAAGACTCTGTAGTTGGGTCTTATTAGATCATAAATAAAGTGTATTCCTGCATTGTACCAACCTGTTTATAAAATTGTCTTGTTACTTCCAGGCAACATATAATTAAACCAAATACATTGATTGGTTTAACATGTCGCCTGAGCTTAGTGTCTTATACTGCTTTCTGTAAATATTTAATCCCATGAGGAGATTACATCTCTGATTCTGTATCTCTATTAGATCGTATATCAGCCTTGTGACCTCACCAATATATCTCTCCTGGTACAAAACCTTTGGATCACGGCCTTATTATTAGCCAGGTATCTTTTTCATTCTATTGGCTATAACAGCCGATGAAAATTTTATATGACGTGTTAAGGAGAGAAATTACCAACTTTTAAAATGGTTTTGGCTGGGTTTTTGGGCAGGCATGCAATTAATCCTGTTTCGAAGAAACTGATAGATTTTTGCTTCGATATGCATAATTTACAGAATTTATCAAGAATTTATTTTAAGTCTCCAAAATAATTTTTAAAATTTCGTTGTAAAATCCGTCTGTCTGTTTTTCGGGTACAGATAAAGAGGTGTATGATAAACGGGCGCCAGGAGCTGTTGTTGCCAGTAGACGTTATGTTGGTGGCTAAGGGTCAAACTAAAGGCAAATTTTCGCCAGTACTATGATGAGAGGCGATAAAATGGCTATGTAAACGATGTGGCGATAAAACGAGGTGGCGGATAAAATGAGGTGTATGATAAAACGGGGTGTATGATAAAACGGGCGCTAGAGCTGTTGTTATGACCGATGTTGCGTGTTGGTGGCTAAGGGTCAAAATACCGGCAAATTAGTCACAAAGTGCTATGGATGAGTAGAGTAATAGAACGCATGATAAACGAAAAGAGAAATGAGGTAAGGAAACGAAGGATCAAGAATGCTACACAGATAGAAGAAGGTAACAACCAGCAAAACGCGTAATACATTTTAGAGGCGATAAAACGGGCTGATAAAACGAGGTGATAATATACGAGGTGGTATGATAAAACGGCGCCAGATCTGTTAAAGCATTTACGTTATGTGTTGCGGCTAAGGGTCGTCTCAAAGCAAATTGTCACAGTACTCTTTAAGATGAGAGTATGATAAAACTGGCTGATAAAACGAGGTGTATGATAAAACGAGGTGTGGCGGATAAACGGGCGTCAGAGCTGTTGTTATGACAGATGTTATGTGTTGCGGTTAAGGTCAAAACATCGGGCTAATCGTCACAGTATCGTCTATAACAGGGATAGAACGGTTTTAGAGTCGTTATGTCAGATGTTGGTGCCAAGGATGTAAATCTATATCTTTTCTACAGAATCGTGTGATGGGTGACAATACCCATGCTATAGCTGCGATGGATGATTGTTAGCCCTAATTTCCGTGTCCAGTTAGAAACAATAGACCAGCAAAACAAGAAAAGGAAGTTGTCTTCCGGATTGTTGTCACTGACGGCAAACACATTGATAAAATTCCCATATTTCGTTCAATAAAATACCGTATTTGCTGTTACTGATCTTTGTAAGAACGAAAAATTTCTATTTTCAACAGCTTCTGTCACAAGTAAACCCAGCATATGATGTAAAAGAAATGTACTTACAACTGATAGTGTTAATCTTCCACAGCTTGTCACAAGTAAACCCAGCATATGATGTAAAGAAATGTACTTACAACTGATAGTGTTAATCTTCCACAGCTTGTCACAAGTAAACCCAGCATATGATGTAAAGAAACGTACTGGCTGTAACTGATAGTGCGTTAATCTTCCACAGCTTTGTCACGAGCAAAACCCAGTATATGATGTATAGAAATGTACCTCTACAACTGATAGTTAATCTTTCCACAGCTTATCGTACAAGCAAAACCCAGCATACATGCCTAGAAATGCAATTCTACAACCGATAGCAAGTTAATCTTCCAGCCAGTCACAAGTAAACCCAGCATATGATATGTTTAGAAATGCAATTTACAACCGATAGTGTTAATCTTCCACAAAGCTTCGTCACAAGCAAACCTATAGCATGATGTAAAGAAATGTAATTTTACAACCGATAGTTAATCTTCCACAGCCTATCACAAAGTGTTCCCTTAGTATATGATGTAAAGAAATGTACTTTAATAACCGATAGTGTTTATCTTCCTACAGCTTGCCTACGCGAGTAAAACCCAGTATATGATGTATAGAAATGTACTTACAACTGATAGTGTTAATCTTCCACAGCTTTGTCATGAGTAAACCCAGTATACGATGTAAAGAAATGTACTTACAACTGGATAGTATTTATCTTCCACAGCTTTGTCACGAGTAAACGCAGTATATGATGTAAAGAAATGAAAATTCTACAACTGATAGTGTTAATCTTCCACAGCTTCTGTCAGCTGGAAGTAAACCTTTAGTATATGATGTAAAGAAATGTACTTTACAACTGATAGTGTTTATCTCCACAGCTTCTTTGTCAAATGAGTAAACCCAGTATATGATGTATAGAAATACCTTACAACTGATAGTGTTAATCTTCCACAGCTTTCTTGCCGCGAGTAAACCCAGTATATGATAAAAGAAATGTACTTTACAACTGATAGTGTTTATCTTCCACAGCTTTGTCACGAGTAAACCTTAGCATATGATGTAAAGAAATGCACCTACAACTGATAGTGTTAATCTTCCACAGCTTCTCTTTGTCACACAAGTAAACTTAGTATATGATGGAAGAAATGTAATTTTACAACTGATAGTAAGCGATCTTTCCACAGCTTTGTCATGAGTAAACCCAGTATATGATGTGTATAGAAATGTAATTTACAAATTGATAGTGTTAATCTTCCACAGCTTTATCACAAGTAAACCCAGTATATGATGTCAAGAAATGTACTTTACAACTGATAGTACATCTTCCAGCTTTGTCGCCAAGTAAACCCAGTATATGATGTAAAGAAATGTACTTACAACTGATAGTGTGTTTATCTTCCACAGCTTTGTCGTCAAGTAAAACCCAGTATATGATGTATAGAAATGTACTTTACAACTGATAGTGTTAATCTTCCACAGCTTTGTCACGAGTAAACTCCAGTATATGATGTAAAGAAATGTACTCAATAACTGATAGTGTTAATCTTCCACAGCTTTGTCACAAGTAAACCCAGTATACGATGTATAGAAATGTACTTACAACTGATAGTGTTAATCTTCCACAGCTTTGTCACAAGTAAACCCAGTATAAGGATGTATAGAAATGTATCTTTGCTAACTGATAGTGTTTATCTTTCCACAGCTTTGTCACGAGTAAACCTGTAGTAAATGATGTAAAGAAATGTACTTACAACTGTTAGTGCTAATCTTCCACAGCTTGTCACAAGTAAACCTAGTATATGATGTATGTGAAATGTACTTTACAACTGATAGTGTTAATCTTCCACACAGCTTTGTCACGAGTAAAACCCAGTATATGATGTATAGAAATGTACTTACAACTGATAGTGCTAATCTTCCACAGCTTTTGTCACAAGTAAACCCAGTATATGATGTAAAGAAATGTACCTACAACTGGATAGTGCAAGTTAATCTTCCCACAGCTTTGTCACAAGTAAAACCTAGTATATGATGTAAAGAAATGTACTACAACTGATAGTGCTTATCTTCCACAGCTTTGTCATGAGTAAAACCCAGTATATGATGTGGCAGAAAATGCACTTACAACTGATAGTGTTAATCTTCCATGCTTTGTCACGAGTAAAACCCAGCATATGATGTAAAGAAATGTACTACAACTGATAAAGCACCTTCCACAGCTTTGTCACAAGTAAACCAGTATATGATGTAAAGAAATGTACTTACAGCTGATAGTGCTAATCTTCCACAGCTTTGTCACGAGTAAAACCCAGTATATGATGTCAAGAAATGTACTTACAACTGATAGTGTTTATCTTCCACAGCTTTGTCAATGAGTAAACCCATATGATCTGCATAGAAATGTACTTACAACTGATAAGTGTTAATCTTCCACAGCTTTGTCACAAGTAAAACCCAGTATATGATGTAAAAGAAATGTACCTACAACTGATAGTGTTTATCTTCCACAGCTTTGTCACAAGTAAAACCCAGTATATGATGTCAAAGAAATGTACTTGCTAACCGATAGTGTTAATCTCGTCCACAGCTTTGTCTAGAAGTAAAACCCAGCATATGATGTCAAGAAACGTACTTTGCACAACTGATAGTGTTTATCTTCCACAGCTTTGTCACAAGTAAACCCAGTATATGATGTCAAGAAAATGTACTTTACAACTGATAGTGTTTATCTTCCACAGCTTTGTCACAGAAGTAAACCCAGTATATGATGTATAGAAATGTACTTTACAGCCTGATAGTGTTAATCTTCCACAGCTTTGTCACGAGTAAACCCAGTATATGATGTATAGAAATGTGGTTATTAAACTGATAGTGTTTATCTTCCACAGCTTTTGTCACAAGTAAACCCAGTATATGATGTATAGAAATGTACTTACAACTGATAGTGTTAATCTTCCACAGCTTTGTCACAAGTAGTAAACCCAGTATGATGTGATGTAAAGAAATGTACTTACAACTGATAGTTAATCTTCCACAGCTTTGTCACAAGTAAACCCAGTATATGATGTAATAGAAATGTACTTACAACTGATAGTGTTAATCGTCCACAGCTTTGTCACCAGTAAAACCCAGTAAACGATGTATATGATGTACTTTTATAGAAATGTACAGCTTACAACCCTGATGTATTCTTACAACTGATAGTGTTAATCTTCCACAGCTTTGTCACAAGTAAAACCCAGTATATGATGTATAGAAATGTACTTTACAACTGATAGTGTTAATCTTCCACAGCTTTGTCACAAGTAAAACCCAGCATATGATGCATAGAAATGTACTCCTTTACAGCTGATAGTAAGTTAATCGTCCACAGCTTTGTCACAAGTAAACCCAGTATATGATGTAAAGAAATGTACTCTTACAACTGGATAGTGTTAATCTTCCACAGCTTTGTCACAAGTAAACCCAGGTATGATGTAAAGAAATGTAATTTACAACTCGATAGTGTTTATCTTCCACAGCTTTGTCATGAGTAAACCCAGTATATGATGTATAGAAATGTACTTTACAACTGATAGTGTTAATCTTCCACAGCTTTGTCAATGAGTAAACCAGTATATGATGTATAGAAATGTAATTTTGCCAACCGATAGTGTTTATCTTCCACAGCTTTGTCACGAGTAAACCTTGTGTAAATGATGTAAAGAAATGTATTTCATAACCGGATAGTGTTAATCTTCCACAGCTTTGTCACAAGTAAACCTAGCATGGCGATGTATAGAAATGTACTTACAACTGATAGTGTTAATCGTCCACAGCTTTGTCACGAGTAAATCCAGTATATGATGGCAGAAAATGTACTTCATAACCGATAGTGTTAATCTTCCACAGCTTTGTCAGCTGTAAGTAAACTCCAGTATATGATGTATAGAAATGTACTCTACAACTGATAGTGTTAATCTTCCACAGCTTTGTCACAAGTAAACCTTAGTATATGATGTAAAGAAATGTACTTTAACAGCTGATAGTGTTTATCTTCCACAGCTTTGTCATCACAAGTAAAACCCAGTATATGATGTATGAAATGTACTTTTACAACCTGGATAGTGTTAATCGTCCACAGCTTTGTCACGGAAAGTAAAACCCAGTATATGATGTAAAGAAATGTACTTACAACTGATAGTGTTAATCTTCCACAGCTTTGTCAGTTAACCTAGTATATGATGTAAAGAAATGTACCACAACTGGATAAGTGTTAATCTTCCACAGCTTGTCAATGAGTAAACCCAGATATGATGTCAAGAAATGTACTTACAACCGATAGGCAGTTTTGTCTTCCACAGCTTTGT